GGAAATGGGGGGGGGGTTTATGAACAGGGGTGTTACAAATCCAGTTTCCCTGCATCATGGGTGCCTCAGCTCACATTCCCCCAAAGTGCAGTAACAGTATTACAGGTTACTATCCTGGTCGGGCAGCGTTGAGTCTCTCAGGAATGCCTGAGAAGCTCAGCCCGTTTTAGTCACGCACCACAATATCTGCCATGCATCACCTTCTCCTGCCAACTGATAGAGCTTTGGAAAGCCCATAAAACACCAGGCTGCCATTAGTCACAGTTCAGGTGTGTGTGTGTGACAAGTGAATAGACACTGAGAGTAAAGCATGCATGTGTGTGTGCTGGTGTTTGAGTGGGAGAGCGACAAGAAGCCAGATAAAGTGTTGTGTTGTAGAAGAAAAACCACGGTTGGTCTGTGTTGCTGCAGTCAGGAAGCTGTCTGGCACGTATCTGTGTTCCTATGCTTTCTATCTACAAATCCATTTGAGAGTTGTGGTTTTTATGCAAACAGCTCTCTAATAGGTCTCATCCCTCCCTCCCTTCCGCACATTACCAATTTAGATCCATATCTGTGTTGCATCAAAAATATCCAAGATGACTGTAAAAGTGTACTTTTTGTAGAATGCACTCCTCAAACCTCATAAGTCAAAGGGACTGTTACTTAAAGTGATGCTACTCAGTGATGCAACAGTGTGTTTTTGACATTATTTTATTTGTTCGTATGGTTTCTGAGCGTTGTGGTTCGTGGAAGTCCCGCTGAGGAGTGCAGCGTGAGGCCGTTGTCAGGGAGTTTGGGAAATATTGTTATTCCCAACTAAGCATCTATGACCGCAACAAAACATGCACTGAACCTCCAGCAAGTCGTCAATAGTGCATTGTGGAGCCAGGAAGTCCGATTGTCGGATGTCCGCACGGTTGTTTTTCACCGCAGATGAACTTTTGAGATCGCATCTGCAAAATAAGTTGAATAATATCTAATAGAAGACTTGATTTTAGTACCAAGTCATATCAAGAGAACTGCAGTAGCTCCCAGGATTGTTAGGGGCACTTCTGCAACAATTAGTCAAGTAATCAATCAATCAATCAATGGTCTGTTAATAATTCAAGCAAAACTGTCACAAATTATCTGGTCTAGCCTCCTAAATGTGAGCACCTTCTGCTTTTCTATGTTGGAATAGAATTTTTTGGGTAATTATGTCTAATATTCTGTCAGTTTGTTGACATATGGGGAGACAGATAGTTAACTTCAGCTCTACGATCACAGTTGTTAAAAACCAAGCAACTGTCCCATTGGTTTTTGTTTAAAGTGGAGTTGTAAAGCTTTTGATGTGATTGCACAGAAATGTAAATATTAGAAACAGTGCTGACAAATCTGACTCCAGAAGCTGGACTGGTTTAAAAAAAGGTTCAGATGTCGTGTTGTTGGTAAATGATGGCAAACTGAAGTTAGATTCTTAAGTGTGTGAACTGAGGCTGAACGATTTCTGACAGATATAGCGTTTGACAAGGCAGAGTTATAGCCTTTTGGATTTTCTAATTGCATTATTTCAACTCACATTTTCAATGTGAGACTGATTAACTCTTCAGGGAAGATTCCAGATTCCAAAAATTAACTCAAGCTGTGCTAACGAGGTTTTCCCAGAGCTACCAACCGTATATCACACCCCATATCCATGTTGTTTGTGTGCTGTTTTTAAAAACTCTGAATTTGAATTTATCATCGTGTCCATGTTAACCTAAACCTCCTTCATATGTTGACGAGTTTTATTTACGACTTCTGAACTCTGAGCCTTCGAGGGGCACTTAAAGGCAGCATAACATCCTGCTCCCAGTTCTTTCTTGGGCTGCTCTCTGACTTCAGCTCTATATTTTATTGTAGTTTTTACTAAGCATTCCTCTGTGCAGCTGCTAAGCTTCACGGGATTGAAGAAAACATAGTTATTTTTCTAACTTGACACCTCGCTGGAATTTTATTGCTGTAGTTTGCATTTGAATGATCCCCTGGAACTGCAAACCAGAGCCGAAGACGGAACCCCAGCAAGAACGAAAAGAAAATATCTGAGTGTGTGGTTTTGTTAGAGGAGGAATGTGAACTTAAATTCCTTCAGTTTAAGCTTGGTTTCCACTGAAATCAGTTGTTTATCGTGCGTATCGACTGTACTTAAAGTCACAAACTTTCACAATACGTCAAACAGTTTGATCTCTATTTTAACATACAGTTGCTTAATTTCAGGTCGGCACATAAAGATGTTGCGACCTCTTTATTGTGATCAAAGTCAGTGGGGCAGTGGTGATGGGTTGAGAGTGGCAGAACCAGGTTAGATATGGTTTTTATCTCACATGGAAACACACACTGGCCGTGTACAGCAGTGGAGATTCAAGCCTGATCTAATCTGGGGGGCTGCAGACAGGCCGTCTGCCCCTCTGTGTCTATATAAACGGACTCACACAGGCACTCAGGAATGCATCAGTCAACAGCATGCACGCTGAACGTCAGGGCTTCCTTTACCACAGTATAAGGGAATGCAGTCTTTTAATGTAGCCTCTATGAATAGCCACCAACAGCCAGTGTTCTGAAAGTATAGAAACAAGGTTTTGTCACTTTAGCACCGTCTGCCTGACTCTAATTTGAACCTCATGCTTCAATATCCAATGTGGCAGACATTAGCTTCTGTGGGGATTCTCTTAGAAACGACTCCCCATGAGTTTGTGATTTATGGTCAGGAGGGATATCAGTTAAACATTCCACATGTTAATTAGATTGGGCACATGCTGATCCTTGCTGGCTGCTGCACCTCAATACAATATCAGGCCATTGATTTAGCATCTCTCTGGAGGAGGAGCCTTCCCCGCTGTAGCTTCCTAGAACTGCCAATGAAAGGTGTTGAGAATCCCAAAAGCATGTCAGTGCTAACTAAATCTTCTGAGGCAGCTGCGGAAATTTGGAATTTACAATCACAGGCAAGCATCACTTAAAATCTGTTGACTTTAGGAGCATAAATATAACCTCAGCTCCGTTCTCATGACCATTTATTGTTAATAAGGTTGTAACCTCAAACCCCGGCAAGTGTTCTCAGACAATTTTAGCTTGCTAGCAGTGTGACTCAAGGGACGGTCTAGTGAGAAAGCACTTCTGCTACTGCTGCAAACATTCATGATGCCCACGCAGTGTATCTTAATAATCATAATCTCCTATTTTCTCCCATAGCACCACCTTGACCATGAGAGTTTGGGGGTTTTATCAAGCAGCACTAAGTTTTTATTAACCCTCTGAACCGGAAAACCCACCAGCGGGGTTAAAAGGCTTTTTTTAATCACCAAAATGACAAAAAATACACCATTTATCAGGGCAAGAAATTGGAACAAATACAAGACTTATTGGATTTTCAACGCTCCAAATGTCCTTGAAGTAATCATGTGTGACTCCCAGTTTTGTTGTCAGAACAACCAAACCAAAGTTTAAGCTTTTACTTTAAAATCACTTTACTCTGCATGTCTAGTCTAAACAATTCCAAAAGATAAAGCCTTTACAGGAACTAGATGCTATGAAAAGCAAAATATTATGCGCTCCTCAGCACCACCATGAAGCCATTAGTGACTCAGCTGTAAGTCAGCAGCATAACAAAAATGTCGGGACTTTTTTGGCCAGAATTACACACAGCAGATAGGAAACAAGCACATTAAACATGTTAGTTGTGAAACACCTATAGTATGGAGAATCACCACTTTATTTCCAGTAGTGGTAACATCTGTGGGGACTTAGAAAGTTTCTACATGTTGATTTAATTTTTTTTTTAAATTTTGTAACATTAATAAGAATTTAACTCTTTTTTTTACAAAAAGCTTTTTCATGGCATTATAACTGTGCGAATAAAAAATGAGCCAACCATGAATACGAATGTGACAGGAGCAAAAATCCCTTAGAAACAGTTTGGGGATGAGAGGGCTCTTCAAGCAAGACAGCGCCTCCGTGAGGTTGACATTTTTTGCATCACTATGACCACTTAGGTCCAGCCTGAAATATTTATGCAACTACTGGACAGATGGCCTGAAAACTTGGTCGACAGTCATGATCCCAGCAGGATGAATTGTAATAATAGCTTTGCTGATTTCTCAAGTTTTCCACTGACACGATCTTCAAGTCAAAACTTCACAGTGTCCAATGAGTTTCTGGTGCGTGAAAATGTGAAAATACTCCCTTTTTTCGTTAATCAGCAAATGCAGCAGCGCTGACACAGTGTTTGAATATAAAATGAGTGAAACATCAGCATGTTCGTGTTGTGAGCATGCTGCACAAGGTTTAGCTCAAACTAAACTATCCATAAATGCATCCTCACAGAGCTACCGCCAGGTTGTAGACTGTTCTCAAATCAGGCTTTTAGTGCAGGGAGATGCCTTCCAGTCCTCTTATCATTAGTAAGTCATGAGCTTTGCATTAAGAGTAGGCCAAGATGCATTGATATGGCTGACCAAAGGGCCTGCAGCCAGACGAAGGATCAATACACACGACAAGAGAGGGGTTGACTCCAGGGAGCAGATGCTATTTACAGTAAAAAGGATTGTCAGGGAAAAAGGAGGTGCAGTCCGAGCTAGGGGCAAGTTAATGTGAGCGAGTACGTGTGTGTGTGTGTGTGTGTGTGTGTGTGTGGTGTGTGGTGTGGTGTGTGTGTGTGTGCATGTTTGCGTGTGAAAGTGGTCTGAATTGAATTAGCCGCCTGTTACCCTGCGACCGACTGAGAATAGCCAAGCCCCCGTCGCAGGATAATTTATTACCTCCAATTATAACCGGGGCATTTACAGATTCAATCTGTCATCTCTCTGTGCTTCTTTCTCACTCCCCTGGACCCTTTTGTCCAGGGAAATTATACATTAAAGCTTTCAAGCTACCAAACACGAGAGGGGTTATTTTCAATAAAAAAAACATAATCACAAATCGCACATTGCTTTTCAAAACCACAGTCGCTTTATTTATTTTAAGATCATCACACTTAAAAATATCTTTTCTTGTGTTTTCAGATGGCCGTGAAGCTGATCTTGGTGTCGATACTGTTTGGAGTGTTCTGCTCCTGTCATGCTCAGAAAGGTAGGATTTCTCTGCTGCATCTCATATTGTTTAATAAGACTGACTTACACACTGTGCTGCTCTAACAACCCTCCTTTGCTACATGATGTCAGTTTGTTAATGTCAGCTTGTATGGCAAACATGCCAGTCATATTGATGAGTCCCTCCTTGAAGAGGGAAGCTGGCTACTTTACCTTAATGATGTCAATAATCAGAGCAACCGGAGCTCGACCTCAGCATCACAGAGCAGAGACGATAATGGAAAAGATGGAATATACTGTCTCCAATTACCGTCGAGCCACACGGTGTTCCAGATGAACTGATGTGTAAACACGGGGGGCTTAACTGGGATGCTTACTTTGCAGGGGCTGTGCTGTACCGCTGCTCTCTCTGACTCTTTCTCTCTCTTTGTTTTCCATCTAGAGGGGAACGAGTGCACGGATGCCAATGCGAAATACTGTGGGGAGTGCATCCAGGCTGGAGCCAAATGTGGCTGGTGTAAAGACCCGGTACGTGAATCGAAGCTGTCAGCTGTATTCGCTGCTGAGTGCTGCAGTTTGATGCCATTATTATGTGCATATCCTTTCACATTGAGTAGCCTTCTGAAAAATAAACAGATTTCGCCTTTGTGCTGCTGCTGCTCCTAGGACTTCCTGAAACAGGGTGAGACGGTGTCGAGCCGTTGTGATGAGGTGCAGTCTCTGATAAAAAGGGGCTGCACTGAGGCAATGATTGAGAACCCACATGGAGAACAGAATATCCTCAAGAACAAGACGGTGACTAATCGCGGAAAAGGAGCAGGTAAACTGAAGCCAGAGGACATCACTCAGATCCAACCTCAGAAACTAAGCCTTACCCTTCGATCTGGTGAGTTAACATGTCATTAATGCAGCTTTGTTTTGCGTAAATAATTATAACTATGACACGTTATTTTAATGGTGGCACCTTCATGTAGGTGAGCCCCAATCTTTCAACCTGACGTTCCAACGAGCAGAGGATTATCCCATCGACCTGTACTACTTGATGGACTTGTCCTACTCCATGAAGGATGATCTGGAGAACGTCAAGAACCTGGGAACCAGTCTGATGCTGGAGATGTCTAAGATCACCTCTGACTTCAAGATAGGTAAAGGTTATACTCGTGTAGTTGGACAGAATGCTGTAGGTCGTGTAAGTTTTTCTTTAAACCAGTCATAGTCGTGTCATGTGCAGTTATGCTAAGAATGCAGCAATGATGTGCCCTCAAATCGTGGAAATTGTTTTGGTGGAACTTTTGCATGCAAGGAGGCAAACATTATCATAAAATTGGCTAACTTCCAAAAAAACAAGCAGCCTTAAGACTAAATTGCTCCCTGGATGTTGTTGTTTCCTGTAGTGAGGGGGATTTTTAAACGGTAACACATAAATAGCAGAAGTGAAAAGCCAATGGCAAGCCTGTACCATCAGTCTGTATCCAGTGAGTCAGACAAGAGGATGCCACATTTTTCATTGGTTTGTCTATTTTCATGCAGCCTAATTACACAAGAACATTAGTTACGTAGCATCTTAGCAGTTTGCGAAGCTCTTTACCGTTTTTACCACTCATTCACCCATTCACACACACACTCCACCACCAATGCAAGATGCTCCCACACCATAGGTAGCAGCTTGCACTTTAATGTCTTGCCCAAGGCACTTTGGCGTGTGGACAGAAGGAGGAACTGCCAAAACCTCCAACCCGCTCTACCGACTGAGACACTGGCTCATAATGGCCTGAAGTTTAACTAACATTCAACTAATATCACATTCTTTGGAACGACTACAGGTGCAGGGGTACTTTTTTTCCCCCACAATTTATAAGAACAGTAAAAACTATAGTATTTAAACTATTTTGGAGTCATTGTTAGTCTAATATTTTAGATTTTCAAAATGTGGGGAGAAATGACATGCAGAGACATGCATAAAGATACAGAGTGAGGTGCAATGTGATGTTCTCAGAGTAATGAGAAGCTAGTTTGAAATACTTTCAGTGGAGCAAATGTACCAAAGTGTAAGCATACAGATTGTTAAAAACAGTTCAAAGTAACAGCATGGCATCCTTCCTCCAATTATTGAATGAGTTGTTTAGAATTAATTAACCTTCACACAGGCGTAAGACAAACATCAATAATACTAGTGGTAAAATAAATGAATGTTATCTTTATTGCTCTGTTGACATTTCTACATTTATTCAGCATTGTTCATTAAGGTATACAGGGTGGGGGGAAGGGGGTTTCCTCTCAAAACCTCACACAGTGGATTGACTGGTTTGTATTTCCAGGTGTTCTGCTGTGAGTGTTTGGTGCCACCCATGTTTGAATGACCTTGTTCTGATCTGCACAAACAGACTTCAGTGACCTCCTTTAAATTAATTTGACGCCGATTTGACTATCACGCCCAATGTCAAACCAAGCATCTCGTTACCCAAATCGCTTGTTGACTTTCTCTGTCCAACTTTCTTCCAAAGGCTTCGGCTCATTTGTGGAGAAGACAGTCATGCCATACATCAGCACCACTCCAGCCAAGCTGCTGAATCCCTGCACAGGCGACCAGAACTGCACCAGCCCGTTCAGCTACAAGAACGTACTAAAGCTGACCAGCGATGGCAAGAAGTTCAACACCCTGGTGGGCCAGCAGCACATCTCTGGAAACCTGGACTCTCCTGAGGGAGGCTTTGATGCCATCATGCAAGTGGCTGTGTGTGGGGTAAGCAAAAAGAAAGGAAACTTTGCTGTTCAGTGATCCTGTGGGCTTGTCAAACTCAGGTTCACAATTTAAGGCAATTTTCCCACCGTTCCAGCACTTGCTTGGAGGGATCGAGTGCTAGTAAAAGTGTTTATGTGGTGATGTGTGAAAAGAAACTTTATGAGTCTTGCTGTTTATGAGGAAATGTTTGGATACAATAATGATTAAAAGTTCTGGTGTCACATTCTAAGCTGCTCAGGTATCCGCTTATTTACGAGAGCTGATAGCAAACTACTTTGCCAACAATGTGTTTTATCCTTTATCAACATGTATCAGGACCAGATTGGCTGGAGGAATGTGACCCGTCTGCTGGTGTTCTCCACTGATGCTGGCTTCCACTTTGCTGGAGATGGCAAGCTGGGGGGCATCGTACTGCCTAATGATGGAAAATGTCACTTGGAGGACAATATTTACACAATGAGCCACTATTATGTAAGTTGTTGAATGCTGCTCTGACCTTTTTTTTTTATTAAAGGTTACTTGTGTTGGCTGTGTTGTGTTGTAAATGTGACTTTTCTCTTCCATCTTCTTTTTAAGGATTATCCCTCCATTGCCCACCTGGTTCAAAAGCTGAGCGACAACAACATTCAAACGATCTTTGCAGTCACAGAGGAGTTCCAGCCTGTTTACCAGGTTAGTTGTCTTGTCTTCTTCTCTCTCTCTCTGATGCTTCCTTTTTTATCTTATTCTTTTTGACCATACACTTCCTCATTCCTTCTTTGTGCATATGTGTGTTTGGAAGATGTCCAGTGCATCCAGCTGGGCTCAGGCATCTGCTGCAAGTTAAAGATAGCATCCCCCTTGAAGTTCAGATAATTTCCTTCAGCTACTATGCAGTTGCTTTTCAGGCCAGTCTTACCCAGCTCTGTCTGAGTCTCACTAACTTTGCTCATAGTTGTATTTGTGTATCGCAGCTGAACCAACAGTGTGTGAACGCTCATAGAGAAGAATTCTGGATCTTGTGTGGCTTCCAGAGAACATAAGTTTCACAGAGTTTTGACACGTCTCTCTTCTGAACTTTTCTTCTCTCAACAGGAGCTGAAAAATCTGATACCAAAGTCTGCAGTGGGCACTCTGTCTGCCAACTCAAGCAATGTAATCAACCTCATTATAGATGCGTACAACGTAAGTACACTGTGGAGCTTTTTGCTCTTTGATCAGGTTGTCATTAACTTGCACAAACCACATTACAGCATTCAACATTCTGACTGATTAGATGTTCAAGACTTTTTCCAAGCAGATATTCTGATTTAATAGTGAGCTAAGCCTTTGTGTATTGTACGCTGTCAAAACAAAGCTACCAGATGACATTCCAGTGCACGAAATAACAACATTCGTATTATTATCTCTTGTGTTTTGGCAGTCGCTCTCATCTGAGGTTATTCTGGAGAACAGCAAGCTTCCAGAAGGAGTGACCATAGCGTACACATCCCGCTGCAAGAACGGAGTGGTTAGCGAGGGGGAAAATGGACGGAAGTGCTCCAATATCTCCATGGGGGTTCCGGTGAGAGTTATAGAGAGGCTTTTGGTATTGTTGTACTTTGCCAAATGGCGAATAAGTCAGTCAGCTGGCAAAGCATACATCACTATAAGATATAATATTACATTAAAGCC